TGTGGTGTTTTCTTGGAGATTGTCCATGAATTGGTAGTTTCTTCAGAAAATCAGTAGTATCCCATGTATAACCTGGACTTCTGGTAGCATCTGATATCTGAATAGGGTCTGTCTATTCAGACACTCCCAATAGTACCCATGCCTGAAACAATAGCTGTCCAGGACTGCCTGGTTTGTGCATTTTGAGCAGTGGATAGAAGATCATAGATTTGTAGAGTTGAAGGGGACCCCTTGCAATGCAGGAATCTCAACTAAAGCATCCATGACAGATGGCCATCCAGCCTCTGCTTAAAAACCTCCAAGGAAGGAGAGCCCACAACCTCCCGAGGGAGACCGTTCCACCGTCAAACAGTTCTTACCACCAGAAAGTTCTTCTTGATGTTTAGTTGGAATCTCATTTCTTGTAACTTGAAGCCATTGGTTCAAGTCCTACCCTCCAGAGCAGGGGAAAACAAGCGTGTTCCCTCTTTCATGTGACAACCCTTGAGATACTTGAAGATGGTTATCATATCTCCTCTCAGTGTCCTCTTTTCCAGGCTAAACATACCCAGCTCCTTCAACCGCTCCTCATAAGGCTTGGTTTCCAGATCCTTCATCATCTTGGTTGCCCTCCTCTGCACACCTTCCAGCTTGTAAACATCCTTATTAAATTGTGGTGCCCAGAATTGGACGCAGTATTCCAAGTGTGGCCTCATAATACAAGTGTAATCCCAATAGCATCTTGGATTCCAAATATGTTCACCCAGTTGAGCCATCCATCCTCCACTGGCCTCCATTTTGTCACCGCAGCCATTAAGCTTGCTAACCCAGGAACAATTGACACTTTCCCCTGCAATGACTCAGACCCTTGCACCTGGCCTAATCCTATCCCCTTACCCGGCAAATCCGTAAACTGACCCTTGGGAGTGTTCATAAAAGGCGGGGAGGTGGATTTTTGTGGGAGAAGAAAGAAAAAGCAATGTGCTTGGTTAGTGAAGCAGTATCACTTTTTAGATACAAAGGGGTTCTGTATCTGGGCTGGGAATGAAATTGTGAAATGGTGCAGGTACATTTCTTTTCTTTGCAAAGCCTGGGAGGCGAAGTGAAGATTTTGCCGAATGCAGTTTTTGGAGTATCTCAGCCCTTCATAGCTAGTGTTGACTTTAAACAGAAAACACACATGGCGTTTAATCTGTATGCTGACACTATAAATAGCAGTGTCGCTGAAGGTGAAGAATCAGCCCAAGAAGAAGGCCGCTCTGTTACTTGCTGAGGAGCTGAAGTGTGGGAAACGGGTATAGTTTGCTTGATGTTTTGCCGGCATATAATTTAGAAGTCATATTTAGAAGCTCAGCAACTCTGCTTTTGGGGAAAGTTTGAACTGCTCCACTACCCTTTCAGCTTGGCATTTCAGTCAGCACAACAGCTGTGTACCAGATGTTACGCTTTGTGAGAAATACAATTTCCATCCAAGCATTTTGCCCTTGCAGCCGACATGGATACTGTGAGAAAGAAAAGCACGGGGAGAGTTAAGTGATCTGACAGGCCCTCTAAGAGCTGCTTATTTTCAAGTCCTTTGTTGCCAGCATATGACATCAGTCAGAATCAGCAAGGTTACCAGGGAATAATCTGGAAAATACCTTTCAAAATGGCCTCTGTTCCTTGAGCTGCTCTAAGTAATTGTGCACTGCCTGAAAGATTTGCTGGCTTGACTGAAACACTGCTTTTGGTTAAAGCGTAAATGTACAGAAAAATGGTACACAGCTGATTGCGGGAAAGAGCTCTGGAGTTTTGAGGCTCAATATTTTTGAAAAGCACCAGTTCTGCACTTCATTTGAAAAGCTTCTGGTGTTGGAGCATAAATCTGTGGTCAGTTTGCTACTGCCTGTATGAAGCATTTGGGTCAGATTTCTGTGGAGAAGAGGGAGCTACCTGCCTGTATTGTCTACCATAACTTGAGATATGTGTGCTTTTAATCAGTGTGCGGAAATGACAAAAGAAGAAAAAGCCAATATATGTAAATTTTAGTTTCAACACTTAATTAAAATTATGGAGAAGACTTGAGAGGAACCATGACCACTGTATTTCCGCAATTCCAATTATATTTCTAAAACGTGATGCTTTTAAAACGAACTGTCTTCCACTAAAAGAAAATTAAGCGCATCAACTGCAATTCTGCCCCCGGTTAGATATGCCTTGTTGACTTCTGAATAGGCGTTACACAGAAGTAACAACCATATGCAAGGGGTGGTGGTTGTTGTTTTAACAAAGTTATTAGCTTCCTCCCTTTTGTCAGAAGTAAGCTTGGCACTTTTAAAAATGCCCTTTATTGTGCTTTGAGTCACACTTGCTTCCTTAGGCTGGCTCCAGGAAATATGGTTTGTGTCTGCTTTTTGTCTGCGCTTCAGTTCTGTCCCGCATCCTTTCATGTCAAAAATAGATAGCGGAGAATTATCTCGCCCAGCCTGCCTGATATATATGTAGGCTATCAGTGCTCAAATTGTGTGTTCGGGGATTGTACGGTGGGTGTCCATTGGAATAGAACCCAATCTATACTTTCTCATGCAAAGGTGCAGAAATCACAGGTGCCAGTTCTGACAGAGGCCACAATGGGACAGTCGCTTTGTCTGAGGGCCCCTAAGTATTTTACTTCAGTTTATTGGTCAACCGGAAAGGATTTAGCTACTTAGAGAAAACAGAGCAGACCCAAAATAGGTTTCTAATCTAGCCAGGCTATCAGTATCATGTTTTGTGGGGTGTTTTCATGTGCTACATTAGTTGTGTTTAATGCTACTGATGTGGTGTAGGTCTGTTTTGTCATATTTACTGTAGCTGTAGCTAAGGAAGGGCTGTGGCTCATTTGTGGAGGCAAAGACGTTCCATGCAGGCAGAACTTTATTCCATCTTCTTCATGTCTCCTTACCTGTTCATTTCCACATTTTTGTGTGACGCAAAAGCCACTTCTGGAAATCTAGTGGAATCTACTGGAAGTTTTCGCTCATTTCCACGTTAGCATCTCCATAAAACATCCATTTGCAACATTGCCAGCTCAGGAAATTGCAGGAGTTTTGTGTTGACAAAATTTGAAGCGTTATATCGGAATACAGTTGTTTCCCACCATTTAACATTTAGCTCAACCTGTAATAAGTTGATTTAAAAACAAAACCCACAGTTCTGTAACACAAGAAGGTACTTGAAATGGGAGTAAGAAGTGTTAGCCACCAGTAAAACCAGCACAATAATCTTAGTTACTTTGAATGCAGGGCTAGTAGGACTTTGCCAGTACTGTACATATTACTTCAGGGTTGCAGACTTGGTTGTCGTTACAGCTTAGCTACATTTCTTAAACTTGCATTATTAGTAGTATTGTTTTCCCAGCTTCCCCCAGTGCTTACTGGGGGGGGGGGAGCGTGGGGGGGAGCAGTAGACCAATCTCTTAGATCCAGTGCAAGAGATTCATTCAGCTTGTGAGTAAATTCTACATACATTACAAAAAAAGCACAACAATTCCTACATTATATGGAAATCAACTGTAATTGCTCCTCTTCAGCTGAATGTTTGAGTGGTTAACATAGTTTTTAAATAACAGTAGATATGATGATAAGGGACGCGGGTGGCGCTGTGGGTAAAACCTCAGCGCCTAGGACTTGCAGATTGCATGGTCGGCGGTTCGAATCCCCGCGGCGGGGTGCGCTCCCGTCGTTCAGTCCCAGCGCCTGCCAACCTAGCAGTTCGAAAGCACTCCGGGTGCAAGTAGATAAATAGGGACCGCTTACCAGCGGGAAGGTAAACGGCGTTCCATGTGCTGCGCTGGCTCACCAGATGCAGCTTGTCACGCTGGCCACGTGACCCGGAAGTGTCTGCGGACAGCGCTGGCTCCCGGCCTATAGAGTGAGATGAGCGCACAACCCTAGAGTCTGGCAAGACTGGCCCGTACGGGCAGGGGTACCTTTACCTTTACCTAGATATGATGATAGCACTTTTCCACTTGAAGTACACAACCCCCTGAATAACAAAATTAAAACAAGCCACCACCCCAGCCCCTCTCTTTGTCCTCAATCTGTTCCACAGCTGTGAGACCCCTGCTTCTTGGCAAAATCTCAAAAAAAAAATAATAATACCCACCTTTAGCATTTACCTGAAGTACTGCAAGACCTCCCGTTTTGGGCTGGGCCTTAGTTATATATGCAAATGGAGATAGTTGGGACTTAATTCTTGTCAGGATCCTGTGAGTTTTGCCTTGTCTCGTTTGGTTTTCCCATTTCTCGTCCCCCAGCAAACAGAAACAAGACTTGATCCCTGGCTGCTTATCTCTCCTGGATGTGCCTTGCTCAAATATTGATCGACAAAACCTTTGGCTAGTCAAACTCAGTTTTGAAATGGAGGTGAAGCCGCCCAGGCCCATCATTGTCCGTATAGATCTCTTTTAGGTAGATATTACTAAAAGGGATGCGGGTGGCACTGTGGTCTAAACCACAGAGCCTAGGGCTTGCCGATCAGAAGGTCAGCGGTTCAAATCCCCGCAACGGGGTGAGCTCCCGTTGCTCAGTCCCTGCTCCTGCCAACCTAGCAGTTCGAAAGCTCGTCAAAGTGCAAGTAGATAAATAGGTCCCGCTTCGGCGGGAAGGTAAACGGTGTTTCCGTGTGCTGCTCTGGTTCGCCAGAAGCGGCTTAGTCAGGCTGGCCACATGACCCGAAAGCTGTCTGCAGACAAATGCCAGTTCCCTCGGCCAGCAAAGCGAGATGAGTGCCGCAACCCCAGAGTCGTCTGCGACTGGACTTAACGGCCAGGGGCCCCTTTACCTTTACCTTACTAAAAGGCAGCTAGGCAGATCTTGGAAGTGAAGGAAATAGGGCTAGAGGAAATAGAGAGCTACAATCCTGTGTTTGTGTGGTGCTGGGCAGACGGCAATGTATAAGACGTTGGCAGATTCCACTTATGCGAAGGAGAACAAAACTTGGCTCCACCAGAATCTTGGCCTTCAAGCCTAAATGTCTGTTTCCTTTCCTTCTCTTGACAGAGGTGAAAGACTACGAGCCGCCATTTGGTTCTAAAGTACGGGAGCATCCTTGTGTGGAAAGCATGAAGGATAACGTATTGAGGGACAGGGGACGGCCAGAGATTCCTAACTCATGGCTCAACCATCAGGTAAGAGAGTGGGTCCTTCTTGCCTGGCATATTGGCTTGTATTTGGTGGCTCCAATCCAACTGACGCGTGACAGGATTACCGGCAACAGTTCTGTATCTCCTGATATCCCCTGAGCTTTATTGTCAACTACATTAGAACGCAGGGCATATTTAGGCATCCTGTGACAACCAGGGGTATCCAGTCAGTTTAGTGACTGGGTATGTCAAAATCACACACTGTGAATTGATCTTTGGTATTTGCTTATTGTCCCTTGGTACTTTTTGCAAAGCTTCAAAACCCACAGGACTCTTCTGTGTGTGCTGTAGTAGCTCTTCCATATCCATGTTCTTCCTCCGCAGCTGCATTTTTGTGTAGGCACCCTTTATTCATAAAATGAAATTCCAAAATGGATTTTACAGAGCGTTCCTCCTCCTCCTCCTCCTGAATGAAATTTGCTGCACTACTGATTTCAAGTTAATGCTTTTAATATTTAGCTTAGCTTGAATGTCCTTAATATGAAAATTACCAAGAAAATTAATATTTTCAATATTGGCTGTGCTGTTGACATTGGTCAACATCAACCATTCAATTATGCAGTTAATGCAGAACGTTGTGAAGCTTTTTCTTCTTCTTTTTTAAAGAAACCACATGAAAAGAGGATAGTAGATTTCATTCTAACCCGGTTCTAATGTTGCTTATCACATCACCAAGGCGAGAACCATTCTTTCTTGGTTTTTGCTACATCTTCCCTTCCGTTGAAATAAAAGGCCAGATAGCGTTGCCGTTCCTATTAATGAATTAATATGTCTGAGCCAGAGGCAAGCAACTATACAAGTGCTCATGTCATTAAGGCCAGCAGTACATCCAGTCTTAACGAGGCTGGGATTAACCCTTTGATTAGAGGATAGGGCCCCAACAGTTGGATTCTCATTCCGCAATAATTGTCTCACATATGGTGTAAGTTTAGTGCGCTGTAATTTCTTAAGCATCACTAAGCCTTCTTTCAGCGCAGTAGCACCAATACCATGTGAGGAGATTCTGCATAAATGTGCAGAGTTGGTTGCCTTACGTTAGCTGAGAGCTTTGACGTTCAGGTGTTTTAAAATGTGTTCACTGTTTTCGCTGCGCATTTCAGGGCATCCAGAAGGTTTGCGAGACGCTTGTCGAGTGCTGGGACCACGACCCTGAGGCGCGTCTCACTGCGCAGTGCGTAGCTGAGCGGTTCAATGATTTCGAGTACCAGGACACGCTCTCCGGAAGAAGCAGTTCGGAAGAAAAGATCCCCGAAGAGAGCTCTGTGAACAGTGCCAAGTAACAGCCTGCTGCAAGACAAAACTTCCACGAAACCAAAGAGAGAGAGAAAGAGAGAGGGGCTGCTCTTGTGTTCCATGTGCACAAGAGTGGAACAGGAAGAGGCGATTAGTCTCGGATGCACTTCCTGTGTCACTGAGGTTCCTGCCTCTCCCTCCATCCCGCAGCTCCAGAGAGGGCGAAGCGGCGTCCTTCGCCGTGTCATAGGAGGAACGACGCCGTTGCTTCCTGAGAACACGAGACTGTACAAAATGCCAAGAATGTTTGCACTTTATCGATGCCTGTAGATAACTATCAAAGAGCAACTTTATGTATGTAGATAGAGAGAGAGGTATGTATATAAACACACACACACACACACACACACTCAGCAAATCTCTGCAAAGAGTCTTCCAAGAAACATAGGTATAGATAGGAAAATCCTACCAGGAATCGTATGCAGGACGCCTGCTGTTATGCTGGCAGAAAAAAGTGTCTTATTCATCCCACCGGAGCCTTAAAAACGAAAGCTGCATGACTTTTATATTTCTGCAGTTGGGGGGGGCGGGGGGGGGAAAGGATTTGGACCATATTAGTGCCTCTTTTAACATGTAACTATGCAATGGTTGTTCAGCTGGTTCTTGTATGTTTATGATGCGTTGATTCAGTGGATCTTACTGGTCTGATTCTTCTCCTCCTCCCCCTCCCCCCCTTCTCCTTGAATTTGGAAAGTTGTCCCCACCCACTCAACTTTCATGCCTGCGCAAAAGATCATTAATTCCTCTGCCCGTCCCTTTCTTTGAACTTTGCCGTTCACGTTAGCAGCCTGCTTTGGGGAGAGGGCAGGTTCCCCGACACCTCCCCAGCCTCGCTCTCTGAAATCAGGCAGGGCCCAATTATAATCGAAACAGATGTTTTGCATTTGCCGTGCCTTCTGACACAAAGTAGACTCCCCCCCTCCCTCCCTTTTCTGGGATCGGTAACATCATGTCTCGTTTCTTGAGCCCTTAAGTTCACATTTGATTTCGTTCCCGGCGCAAAAGGAGGCACAGTACGTGGACGCCTTTCCCTGAGTGTCTGGGTGTCTGCGATGCCGTGGAAAAAGATTTGCCCCGCTCTGGAGACATGCAGCGCTTTCGTTCCCCCTTAACTCGCCATTGTGAGCAACCCTTGCCTGCAGTCATCCAGAACTCTGGCAAATAAGAGCACATTCCTAAACTGATCCCCACAGGCATGACTTACATTCTTTTAGTCTTCCAAAATATTTAGCTTTGGAGCTGGCCTCACCAGGAATTTTTAAATGACGGAATTTTGACCGTCAGTATTTTCATACGAGATCATCGGAGCTGCTCAAATTGTGTGGCTCGTCGTGGTTTGGAGGGCTTTCTGTGCCTTGATGTTGTTTTCTAACAGGGATTTGCTCCAGAAACAAAAAGTGTATTTCAAGTGCAATGTTTTTATCACACAGGTCACAGATACATTTCTTTTTTCTCTCTAGGAACTTTGTGTATCCAATAATAGGGAATTTGGGGAGGGGGAAGAGAAGTATATTCACATAGGAATTATAAATTTATGGGGGAAAATATTTATTTTTAAAAGCTTTTTGCATCTGCTTTTATATTAATTTTTAAAGAAATATTTAAGCATTAAGTGGGGCAGGAGCTCAATAATTAAAACGGAGTCGAGGTTTAATAGCAACAGGCTATGTACTGAACTGTGGAGCTACTGGAAAGACGGGTTTATACTGGGATCATGTTCCTAAGCAGATCTGGAGTCGAGTGACCTCTAGTGGGGTTTCCCACTGAAAAAGTTCTACGCTAGGAAAGGAAAAGGAGGAGCTTTGCCCCACAAACCGGAAAGTTAGGTTTCCATCTGCATTACAGATCTAAACCACTAGTTTCAGAACTGCCATAACTTTCAGGCCTTCCTCCATAACCACAACTCTGGCTTGGAGTAAGTTCCCAGAGTTCCTGAACTGAAAATGGTGGAAGCTTACTTTGAGATGGTTTCAGAAGAAGGTTAGACAAATACGTGAGATAAAAGGCTAAGAACAGCCTACTAGTCCTCCTGGCTGTAGGCTAGTTCCCAGAATCAGAGGCAAGTTTGTCCCAGAACGTCACTTGCTGAGACAAGGCTCAAACTGATTCAGTACTGGTTTAAATTGACAGCGTAGACTTGCCCCTGGGTCTCTGCTGTGTGCGTTGTGCCTGATATTTATCGTGCAGCGGCAAACACTTAAGAGAGCGCCCAGTAGCTCCTGGCAACTCTTTTAACTTTCTTTTGTACTATTTACATGTAAAGGGATTTATTTTTTTCCCCATTCTTCCACGGAACGCTTTCACTGTATGAAAATAGGAATGTGAACATATATAACCTTGTTTATTCGAGCGTCTCGAGCACTTACCGTATTTTTGTATAAATAAAATGTTTTAGATTAAATGAAGTTTTGGTTTTGTTTTAAATGGCCCTTATCCGTTAAAAAAAACAACCTCTTGTAAGTTTCTTTTCAGAGGGGGAGCGGTCATCAGGTGGACTCGGTCATCAGATTTCTCTCCAGCAGTCCAAATCAAGAGATTAGTATCCTTTTTCTGTGTTCTGTTCATTTCGTACCCATGTTCTGCACATAACAGCCTCTGTGATTAAGAGGATTGGCTGGTTAAACATCAAAACATATAAAAAAATTGTCCAGTAGCACCTTAGAGACCAACTAAGTTTGTTCTCAGTATAAGCTTTCATGTGCATGCACACTTCTTCAGATACACTGAAACAGAAGTCACCAGACCCTTATATATAGTGGGGTGGGGTTTTTCTCAGGCGGGGTGGGGTTTTTCTCAGGAGGGTAGTAGGATATGTTTGATTGACTCAATGGTTATGGTAAACCTGTTGACGACTGATCATGACTGCAAATAGTTATTAGGTAATGACTGCAATTAGTATGATAAACAGGTTTACCATACCCATTGATCACTGCAGATGGTGACAGCAGTCACAGAATTAACAGACGCCTGCTTCTTGGGAGAAAAGCAATGACAAACCTAGACAGCATCTTAAAAAGCAGAGACATCACCTTGCCAACAAAGGTCCGTATAGTTAAAGCTATGGTAGTGATGTATGGAAGTGAGAGCTGGACCATAAAGAAGGCTGATCGCCGAAGAATTGATGCATTTGAATTCTGGTGCTGGAGGAGACTCTTGAGAGTCCCATGGACTTCAAGAAGATCAAACCTCTCCATTCTTAAGGAAATCAGCCCTGAGTGCTCACTGGAAGGACAGATCGTGAAGCTGAGGCTCCAATACTTTGGCCACCTCATGAGAAGAGAAGACTCCCTGGAAAAGACCCTGATGTTGAGAAAGATGGAGAGCACAAGAAGAAGGGGACGACAGAGGACGAGGTGGTTGGGCGGTGTTCTCGAAGCTACCAGCATGAGTTTGACCAAACCGCGGGAGGCAGTGGAAGACAGGAGTGCCTGGCATGCCCTGGTCCATGGGGTCACAAAGAGTCGGACATGACTAAACAACAACAACAAGGTGCTACTGGACAATTTTTAAAATATGTCTCGACTGCATCAGACCAGCACAGCTACCTACCTGGGTTAAACATTGACAAGGAACACTGAAGTTCTAAATAACTTGCACAGCTTTTTTTAATAATCAAAAAAGTGCACTATGTGGTCTCGGGGCAGTAATTGTGTGTCAGGTTCTGATCCCGCCATCTGCAAAATGGGAATTCTAGGTATACATTATGCATGGGGTCATTATCGGGATGAATAATTTACGCATACAAGCCCCTCAGTCCTTTCATTTGGAAACTGTGGTGTCAGAGTCTGCTTCGGAGTCTGGTTTCAAACAATTCGCTGGGTCCCCTGTACAGGGAAGGTCGTGTAAGGTCAATAACTTTTGATGACTACCCTGATGACTACGCTCGCTCCCGGCGTGTTCTCATTTTAGGTATGGTACTTTTTCGGTGCGGGGTGTTTGTGTGCAGAAAAGATTTCAAGGGCAAACTCAGCCAGGAGATGGTTTGTATGAAAGCTGAATGAAAGAAGTTAATAACACTACACACAGAGAGAATTGCATTATATGCTGTTTTGTTCTTCTGGATTATATAGATAACACAATTAGGTAAATCTAACCAATGGGGCTGCCTAATTGGTGAAAGTGTGTATTACAGCACCCCATTTTAGGAATATCAGAGAGAGAGAAAATACTAAGGCTTAAACTTGTTTCAACTCTTTTAGATATATTCTTGATTGAAAGATGGAAAAAAACACATAATTACAAGTGCACAAAGCACATGAGTACTATTTCTTTTCTTTTTGTGTCTTAAACTGTGTCTCGACTCTGACGGCTTGTCAAAACTACGAGCTAAGAAGTGTTTGAGGAAACATGTTTTTGTGGAAAGCCCACCAGTCACGATTTCGTAGTGCTGTTTCAAAACTGCAACTCCCAGGGTTTTTGGGAGGGAGTCGACTGTGAAAATGCTTTCAGACTCCTCCTCGGTTGTAGTGAAGTTGTGCTCCCGAGTTCTGTTGTGCCCAAGTTATTTAGGACTTGGATCATAGTACAGTACAGATGTTGAAAGACTTGTGTGTGATGTAAAGGAGGGGTAGACCACACTGCTGTGCTTGCAGGAGCTTCCAAGGAGATGTTAAATCAGTTCCACACTTGGGAAGTGAAAGAAAAGCAGCTTTGTTACTCTGCTAGCATCTCTTAAAAAACAAACAAACCCACATCTGTTTTGCTGTTCTCCATAAACCACATTTGCCTCATTACATTCGCGTTGTCGCAGTGCATGTGTAGTCCTGCTTTAAGTGTGTTGGTGCCGCTTGCCATGGCAACAGAGGTCTTCTCTAGGCCTGCAATACGGGCGAACCCATCCCAAGCCCAAAAGAAATGCTGAAACGTGGAGTGGTGGGAAAATAAAGTTGAGGAAGCCACTGAAAAGACCTCTGCTGCCATTGAATGGCATGAAAGAAAGGAATGAATGGGTACAAGTGGGAGCAGTGAAATGTTGGATCCATTCATGCATCGGTGTGTTGGTTTCAGCATCAGGGGGAAACTGATACGGCTTTATTTGGTTCAATTTTTCACAGATTCCAAAGGAATCCCTGTTCCACACAGAGGGCATTTAAAATAGTCTCTCTCTGCTTGTTTCGTTAAGATCTTGTTGGATGGCTGTAGCTCAGTGGTAAGAGCATCTGTTTGCACGCAGCTTAAATCCCAGGCATGTCCAGGAAGGCCTGAAATCCTTCTCAGTTAAGTGGACCAGTGGCCTGGGATAGGATAAAGGGATTTCCTGTGTCCCTATTTGTGTTCTCTTGCTTATGTTTGAATGATTTCATTTTTGCTTGGTTTATGCCTTGTGGCAGAAACAACGAATGAGAGTGTTGGTAACTGTCATAACACCGGTCCTGAGAGATTTGTATTGGCTCCCAGTACGTTTCCGAGCACAATTCAAAGTGTTGGTGTTGACCTTTAAAGCCTTAAACGGCCTCGGTCCTGTATACCTGAAGGAGCGTCTCCACCCCCATCATTCAGCCTGGACACTGAGGTCCAGCTCCAAGGGCCTTCTGGCGGTTCCCTCACTGCGAGAAGTGAGGTTACAGGGAACCAGACAGAAGGCCTACTTGGTAGTGGCGCCCGCCCTGTGGAACGCCCTCCTTTCAGATGTGAAAGAAATAAGCAGCTATCTTCTGTTTGAAAGACATCTGAAGGCAGCCCTGTTTAGGGAAGTTTTTAATATTTAATGCTGTATTGTTTTTAACACTCGATTGGAAGCTGCCCAGAGTGGCTGGGGAAACTCAACCAGATGGGCGGGATATAAATAACAAATTATTATTATTATTATTATTGGTATGAAGGCATGAACTTGGCGGTAAACATGCATCTTAAAAAATAAAAAAAAGTAAGAGTTGGTGAAAGGCTCTACTGCAACCTGTCGTTGCTCGGTCCCTGCTCCTGCCAACCTAGCAGTTCGAAAGCACGTCAAAGTGCAAGTAGATAAATAGGTACCACTCCGACGGGAAGGTAAACGGTGTTTCTGTGCGCTGCTCTGGTTTGCCAGAAGCGGCTTAGTCATGCTGGCCACATGACCCGGAAGCTGTACACCGGCTCCCTCGGCCAATAAAGCGAGTTGAGCGCCGCAACCCCAGAGTCGGTCACGACTGAACCTAATGGTCAGGGGTCCCTTTACCTTTACTAAAAGCTGAATGGTCATAAGGATCTTAATATATAGAAAGAGGGGCGTGGAGGAGTCTTAATTTTATTTTATTTTTTTAAAAAGCCTGGCCACATGAAATCCATTCACACATTTTAACATCACTGCTGGTTTTCCATACGGGGGAAAGAAAGGAGATTTCATTCCAGCCCCCAAATAACCCCCAGAGGGGGACATCTGTGGCGAACTGTGAAGGTTGCCAATGGCCAAAGCATCTCTTGGGAGAACCCCTTTAAACTAGTAAGATATGCAAGACATACCTATCGTAGGCTATACCAAATATATATTCAGATCATGTTCGGATTTGCTTATTCTTTTCGCTGCTCAGTCATCAGGCAGTAATCCTCCCTATAAGAAGTGTGTGGATATATATAGGCTAACATGAAAAATGCACAATGATTTTCAAAGGCGCATATCGGGTGTTAGACTCATTACAATGGATTACTGTCAGACTCTTTTGACATCACAAGGTAAACAAGTGTTGTCACAACGAATGAAGGCATGTTAAGACGAGGCTTGGGGAATAAACCTACAAGTTCTTTTGGCCTTGAAAAGAAGGTAGAGCAATATCTCCAACACATTTTCCAATCAGCTCGGTTGCATGCCGCTGTCATCCTATAGATGTATATTCCATACTTTTTTTTTTGCCGGCAGCCTTTAATTAGCATGTCAATCACAACTGCAGTTTAAGAATCTTTTCCCCCCTGATAGCATAAAGCAAGGCTCGGTAGCATAAAGTTGTGGGGAAATGGCAAACTACTTTTAATGTGATGGAAAACTTTCCTCCTAACTCATTATTAACATTAAGAAGCTGCCTCCTAACAGGTCAAACTGTTTGCCCATCTAGTTCTACTCAAGACTGGCAGTGGCTCTCCAGATATCTTGAGCAGAGATCTTTCACGTTGCCTGATCCTTTTGACTGGAAATGTACTGCACCTGAGATTTCTCTGTGCAAAACTTATTGGAAGTTCGACAGCAAGAATCATTCAGTTTGTAACTTTAGGGTCAACTCTGTTATCCGTCAGGCAGCTAGCCATGAGGAGGAGGAAGGGAGGTGTTGCTTGGCAACCAGTGAAGGTGGCATGATCTTTAGTGATGAGAAGCCTACTTCTGTTCAATTTCCCGGGGCAATAATACCTTTATTGTCAATGTACAACCTGTGTACAATGAAATTGCAAGGGGGCAAGGCTGGTGTATTTGACAAATAGGGCACTGCCCCGCTAACCTCAGTTTGCCCTCAGCTAGTCCCAGTCTGCCCCTTTTCTGCTTAAAAACCCGCTCCTCAGTCTTGGTGTAGTCATTGCAAAACTCAGCATTGCAAAACGTCATTGCAAAACTTGGTGCAGTCATTGCAAAACTCATTGTAAAAACTCAGCAGGGAGAATGGGGGCAAAACTAGCATTCGTTAGCTCTGGCACCACCTAGTGTTTACCTCCCTGCTTTCCACTCCAGCGCTTTTATGTTGGGCGGCTTTTGAAGACTTGCTGTTTGCTGGTAGCTGTTCGTGGTTTCTTTTATTGCTTTTTTATGATTTAGGGGTTAGTTTGACAGCTTTCTGATGACTAGTTTCCTATTGGTGTATTGGTTCCTTTTGAAAGCTGGCTCTGATGAGACAGAGTTATGTGTTTTAATAAAATAATAAATAAATAGAGCGGGTTCCGTTTCTTTTCTAAACATGATTCTCAGTAAACTAATTATTGTGTTAATTATGGGAATGGATTTTATAATCACAGCAGCTCCTGCAGCAATCATAGCGTGGCCTGCAGAGCCGCAAACTTCACTAGTAATTATTTTGCGGGAGCGCATTAAAGGCAATGCTGAACAAATCTGCATACATTAGTAATTCCATCTCCCGCCCCATGTTTCTCGTATGACTTCTGTTTCAATGACTATGTTAATTGACAGCCGGAAGTAACGGAGAAGAAATTGCATGCACTCTTTAAGCTGCATGTACTTCCATTTAAATTGACGGTGTTTATTTACCTTTTTGTTGTTTTTGAATTGGCAGCAGAATTAAGCATTCTAAGCTATGTTCATTTCCCATAGGTGCACGTTAACCGCAACAAGACTTTTGACTAGATGCCGCTATAGGCACTAAATGCAACTCTCAGTTACTGAAGGACAGCTTGACACCTCTTGCTTAGAATGTCAGGTGAGCAGAGTGAGGTTATTCCACTTACGGAAGCATCGCCTCTAGAAAACTAGCTTATGCCGATTTGTAGGGCCTGCCCACCCATTAGGCAAGGCAAGGTGACTGCCTCCAGGCAGCAGGAGCCACAGATACAGTATTCCTCCTCTACATTGGCCTCTTTGTGACTGTGCTGCTGGTCTTCTGCCACCCTTGTTCTTGATTGTAGATAGTCACTTACCCCTTCTTGCCTGGCAATGCCATTTTGTGGTTGGCCTCAGGTGCCAAAATGTCTTGGGTCATCCCTGCTGATCTGTCCCTACACCAGTGTGGTGTAGTGGTTAAGAGCGGTGGACTCGTAATCTGGTGAACCGGGTTCGCGTCTCCGCTCCTCCACATGCAGCTGCTGGGTGACCTTGGGCTAGTCACACTTCTCTTAAATCTCTCAGCCCCACTCACCTCACAGAGTGTTTGTTGTGGGGCAGGAAGGGAAAGGAGAATGTTAGCTGCTTTGAGACTCCTTAGGGTAGTGATAAGGTGGGATATCAAATCCAAACTCTTCTTCTTCTTCCCTTCTACAAGTGCTTTGTTGAATGGAGGCCAGAGGCTATTAACTTTCCATTTGCTGAGTTTTTCCATCTCTTAACTCCTCCTCTGTATCGCTCATTTACAGCGAGAACAAAACGCAAAGGAAACAACTTATAAAATGACTTTCCCATTGTCCTGTCACCCACTGTTAATTTGGTCTTGCATGAACTTAGCAAATTGATATTGCCCCTGTGACCCTGTGCAATCAGGTTCTGCACTCACCAAAGGTTTAAAGAAATGCCAAAGCATTTGCAAGAAGCAGGAGGAAGAAATGAAGTCGCGTTCATGGGTGAGAAAAACTTTTTGAGAACTGGGGGAAGGGGGCAGATATTGGCACAGCATAGGAAGAAGAGCTTCAGGGAACTGGGTATAGTCTTCCTCTCTCAGCCTGAGCAGTTGTTGCTGAGAAAATCAGGAAAATTGGGTGCCATAGCCACTTACACCTGCTCCTCTATTTACTGCAAAATGGCTCAGTGAGATTAAGCAACGAAAGCTTTGATTGAGACTGGGCAGAGGGGTGGAGAGCATTGATTGTAATAGCCTTCTAATAGACTTCTGAATTATCGTTGCATGATCATCTCTTTACCTGCACTCAGCTACATTAATCAGCCAAATCTCTCTTATGTTAAGTGATAAAAGCAAACTAACTGAGGACGCAACTATGTTTCGGAGGTGTTGGCTATTACAGAAATGGGATTAAAAAGCAGCTACAGTGGTACCTCGGGTTAAGAACTTAATTCGTTCTGGAGGTCCGTTCTTAACCTGAAACTGTTCTTAACCTGAAGCACCACTTTAGCTAAAGGGGCCTCCTGCTGCCGCCGCACCACCGGAGCACGATTTCTGTTCTCATCCTGAAGCAAAGTTCTTAACCCGAGGTACTACGTCCTGGTTAGCGGAGTCTGTAACTTGAAGCGTCTGTAACCTGAAGCGTCTGTAACCAGAGGTACCACTGTACTAACATTTCCTTATTATAATGAGCACTACCACTGTTTATTAAATTCGGAATCCCCTTAACTTTTTCTTCCACACAAGATGCTATGCTGAGACTTTAGAGGTGTGAACATAGGAGCCAACTACTAGGGGCTGAGGGGTCCTTGGCCTCCCCAGTAAAATATTTGGGCATTCCCATTCAAATGGTGTGTGTGCACTGCACCATGTGGTTGATTATGCAGGGTGGGGCTTACCTGCCCTGCCCCCCACATTTTATTTAAGTTGCCAGCCCTCGGTGTAGATATGCAATGTTAAGAGAGATGATTCGTCCACTATGCTCTGCAGCGTTGCTGGGGAACCTCCCAGATGTGGCCTCCCAGATGTTGTTGGACTTCATCTTCCCTAGCCTGTGGCCACGGTGGCTGTATTTGATGGGAGTTGGAGTCTAGCAAGGCCACAGATTTTAAATGATTTCCTCCACGGAAATCAGTTGTCGAGACTGGTTTTAATTTTCTTGCTGCTAAGCAAAATTGCTGTATTTTTTCCGTTTCATCTTAATAGTATTCCTGCTTAATTATTTTCAAGTAACAAAATTAGTGCAGCAGGTAATTTAACATTTGAAGCAAAAGGATCTAATTTTGTACGTCTTGGTTTAATTTTTTTTTTAAAAAAAATATTTTCCCCACGTTACACAATGCATTTGCCAACCAGAACAGCTTCAAGTTCATCCAACCTGTAATTAGCGTGTTTAATCATGACATAGTGAATTTGTGTGCAATTACATTATTTGTACAATTACAATGTTTCAGCATGTAGTAATAACATTTTTGCATAGGATAGTGGCCAACCTGCACGTGTAAATAAATAGAGTGGATACTTTCCAGGCACTTGATAACCTGCCTGGATTTGCTGACAAAATTAAGGAATAAGATTATTTCAGATCCACAGCGATAAGTAAGAAGGGAAAATAATTTGGCCAGCTGGAGCAGTTGCAATGACACATTGTGTGCTAATTCAGAAATAAAAATTGAATGTAGCATAAGCTTATTATCCAAGCTGCCAATGAGAGACCAAAGCAGTTTGGTTTCTCAGTCATTCTAATGTTTTTTTTAACTCCTGCTCATGACAGAATCCTCTACGGGTGGCGCTGTGATCTAAACCATTGAGCCTCTTGGGCTTGCTGCTCAGAAGGTTGGCGGTTCGAATCCCCGCGACGGGGTGAGCTCCCAATCCTCGGTCCCAGCTCCTGCCACCTAGCAGTTCGAAAGCACACCAGTGCAAGTAGGTAAATAGGTACCACTGCAGTGGGAAGGTAAATGGTGTTTCTGTGTGCTCTGGTTTCCGTCACGGTGTTCCGTTTTGCCAGAAGTGGTTTAGTCATGCTAGCCACATGACCCGGAAAGTTGTCTGTGGACAAACGCCGGCTCCCTCGGCCTGAAAGCGAGATAAGCATAGCAACCCCATTATCACCTTTGACTGGACGTAACCGTCCAGTGGTCCTTTACCTTTTAAGCTACACATCATTTCCTTGCTCATGTTGGTGGGTTAAAGTCTGGCAACAGAAAGGGCAGCAAAAGCAGGCATAGCAATTCCTTGGAAGCACGCAAGATCTGAACTGTGGGTATAGAGCATCCATGCTTGTCCGTAAGGTCTGTTCCAGACATTTAAATGGAGGTACAACCAAGGGGTGAAGAATGCACTCTCTCCCCTGCAGTGAATGACGGAAAGCCAGCTGACAAAGGGACTGAGCAGAATTTGTTGATATATTTCCACCCCACCTTCCTGCGAGGAGCTCAAGGTGGAAAACATGGTCTTCCATCTCCCCGTTTTATCATCACAACTCATTGAGCTTCCTGTCTGAGTGGGGACTACAAAAGAAGACAACAAAATAGCTTCTGAGTAGGTAAGTGAGAACAGCAGGCTCACCACCAGCACACCAGGGCGGTATATATAAATTGATTTAATAATTAAATGGTAAGAAGGGGTCCATCAGAAGGAAACTTCCCCCGGGGCTTACTCAGGCCTAAAACTAGTTCTGGGAAGCGGAGAAATACGTGAGGTCCCTCTTTAACAAGTATCCAAGCTCCATTTTTATTTTTTTTAAAAGAAGAAATAGTCTGGATTGGTTTTTAAGAGTTATCAATGCCTTTTTATTCAAAGATTCAACTAAGAACACACATATTTTGCACATAATGTGCTGCTACAAAAAGCACTTCTAGGCAATTTGTTATGCACTATACGTATCATCACATAGATCTCACAGAAGAAGGTAAAATACAGATCTCTAATAATTAATCATTACACCATGCCTGCAAATATAGCAAAACTTCTACATACAGCAATGGAAGAACAAGACCATGAATTACAAAGCAATTGGTTAAAACACACTGTAATAAACAAATTGAAAAGAATGGATTAAACCTAGTATGGGTCTTTTCAGCTTCACAAAAAGTATTTTACTGTAAAACTATGTCTCTAAATATTATGGACAAATTTCAACTTATTACACACCTATATTATTTTTTTAGTGTAATCCCTCCATTTATACTCTGCTCAAGTGAAATTTGATAGTTTTTACATCTTTAGAAACACACCAGTGGATGAATCAATACAGTAATCCTTACCTTAAATAGCCACACAGCATAAAAAAATACAACTCTAGGAGATATATACACACACATACACATGTGGAATTTATTTAACTTCAATAGGCCTCTACAATGCTTAAGAAATACCTTGCTGATGTTTTAGCAGTCGAAATTTAATACAAACTGTCTTAGAAACTGTGTACAATCCCTCTGACCCAAGATAAAAAGAGAAAAGAATGACGTGTAAATTACAATAGGATGGATTCAGACTAAATCACACTTGATGAACTTAGATCCCATTGAAATCATCACCCACTCCCCCCCCCCCATTTTAATGGTACCTAAGTAAAATTAACTTAGTCTTGCCCCAACCCAGTATTTTGTATGTAACATTTTGGATGCTTCCAGGAAAAAATGGTGGATGGTAATTAGTGCACAACACTTCATTTCCTAGTTCATAAGAAGAAGAAAAAACCTCTTGCATAAGTAGAGCCCACCAATCCTGAACATCTAATCTTCACAATGCATATAAAGGTACTTTTTTACTTAATACCCACTGATCTAAACCTGGCGATGGCTTAACTCCATTCACTTTAACTAATTTATAACAATATTTTAGCAGTTAATGGGGGCCCATTTTTAGCATTCAGTTATCAGCCAATGACATATCAACGTTAGACACAAAATGTCTAGTTTTGAAAAGCACCAGCTCTTTATTACAAGCAAGGCTACAAAGAATTGACCACCACTTCTCCAGGCGTTCCTGGCAGTGGCTTTAGCCATCTGGGCATTTATCTATGAATTACATGGTCTAATACCATTCATGTCGCAAACATTCTTACAGTACAACCCTAGACATGTCTACTCAAAGTTCAGTCCCCTAGAGTTCAAGGAGGCTTACTCCCAGAAAACTGGGTAGGGGGGTGGCTAACCTTTGGCCTTCCAGATATTGTCGGACCCCATCTCTCACGAGCCCTGGTCAGCATGGACGATGCTCGTAGATTATGGGAGTTGTAGTCCAGCAACATTTTGGAAGGCCACAGGTTGGGCGACAATGCCGTAAACTCTGCACAACTAAGGAAAGCCTAGCACTGTGAAGCATCAACTACAAGTCTTTGCCTAGTGAGTCAATCTCGTCGAGCAGGAAGTCCATGTCCTCTCGGCTCACCTGGGGGCTGATAATGACCTGGCGGAAGAAGTTGACTTTGCCACGATGCGGCTGGTAGCCCAACATCATGCTGCCTTTCTTCATCAATCTCTCTTTAATGATGGGTGCAACCTGAAGGAAGGAAGGGAGTCATATATTAAGAAGAAGAGAAGAGTTTGGATTTGATATCCCGCTTTATCACTACCCGAAGGAGTCTCAAAGTGGCTAACATTCTCCTTTCCCTTCCTCCCCACAACAAACACTCTGTGAGGTGACTGGGCTGAGAGACTTCAGAGAAGTATGACTAGCCCAAGGTCACCCAGCAGCTGCATGTGGAGGAGCGGAGACGTGAACCCGGTTTCCCAGATTACGAGTCCACTGCTCTTAACCACTACACCACACTGGCTCTCCTGCAAAGTAGTACAAAGCAACAGTCTGTAAAGGGACTCAAGTAGGCAAGAAAGGGTCAAAATCCTTTAAAAGAAATGAAATAAGAAGGGAGAGAATTAATAATTAATAATAATAATAATAATAGTAATAATAATAATAGAATTGATATACTGCCCTATACCCAGAGGTCTCAGGGTGGTTCACAGGGAAGAATCCACATGTATGTATCAAACCTTACATATGCTTGGTTTGATAAGAACCTGCAAGTCTGTACTGGCCTCCTTAAAATCTTAGGCTCTGCTTGTTTGCTCAACCAAATCTCCCTCTTCCACAATGCTTCTACATATGGAATTCTGTCCCACAAACACATCCTGGCTGGCTGGTGAACCCAGAAACTGACCTCCCTCCCACACAGGGAGATGTGTGCACAACAACACATTGGTAGGATCATGCCTCATATCAGTTAGCAGAATTAAAAACTATGGTTTAGATAAAGGGAGAGGGGGGAAGTGCAACAAAGCAGCTAAAATTAACATTATAAAACATAAATCAAGTGCAATAAAATATACATGACACCCCTTTATGGGTGGTAGCATGCATGTTCAAAAGCAAGAGGTGCTCACTGTTTAATACCCAACCCATTACGTTACAAAGCTCAAAATAGTTCACTGTGGATCTGCATTGTCACTGGCAGAAAACGACAATTTTGCAACGAGCAGCTAGAACCTTATTGGCACCAAGGTGGAGAACAAGTCTAGTTCCCACCAAGGAAGGATGGCAGGGTAAAATGCTTGAATATGCTGAAGTGGCTAAGTCTGATGAACAGGGTAAGAGAAAACGAAGATAAGGAATATAAGGAGGAAGGGATAATATTTATTGAATATTTTAAGAACCAGTGTAGACAAATACATAGCTTAGCGGGTCTCGAGTAAATCCACCAGAGTTGAAATAGATGGAGTATTTAATAGATAACAAACTGGATGATTAAAAAGATGTGGATTATGTGGAGTAGTAAAAAAACAAAGGAATCAGGGAAAGTGTGGAAGGGAAGTCATATGGTATATGTATACATGCTGTATTTGGTATGAAGTTGTAAGTGGGATAGGGGGAGGGGAGGGGAGGGGGGTTAAATATGCTCTGTTCCCGTTTTTGAAAATGCAAATAAAAATAGAGTAAAAAAATTTATGGCGCACCACTTTATTTTGTTATTACCTTTGTTTTTTTTCAGTCAAAAGAATACACACAAGCTACTCAATTAGTTAATGTATCGAGAAAGAAATGTTGGATTAAAAGGTATCACTTGAAAATGAGAACTACAAGGGTTAGATTCTGCTCCCTGATACAATCTCTCTTCAAAACAAGCAATGCTGCTTTAGATTTATGTGCGCGTGTCAATGAAAAAGAACAACTGGCCTTACAAGAAGTGTAGTTTTGGGAGTGGGGTGTCGTAGCCAATGGAATGGGACATTCCATAGTGGAGTCACCAATTTGGGCGGGTCCCATCTCTGCAATACGCTGAGTATAATGCCTGCTGGAGCACTGTACAGCCAAAGGCTGCCTCAGCTGAGGACAGCTGGTCCAATTTGTAATGTCTGGTAAAGGTGGAAGATGACGACCAGGTGGCTGCCCTACAAATGTCCAACATGCGCCAGAATGTGAGATGGACGGGGTAATTTAAGGGACTCGTAAAGCCACGGAAATATAGGCCTTAATCCACCTACCTAAGGTTGCTTTGGAAACTTTAACCCCTAAGGTAGACGGGTGAAAGGATACAAATAAAGAGTCAGTTTTCCTCCATGGCGGCCATTAAAACGGCAAAGATGCACGCACATAAACACACAGCCTCTGATTTTCACCAAATAAACACTCAACTCCTTTTGTCACACCGTGGACCGGGAGGAGGATTATAGAAATTCAGACCCAAAAGTCTCTGTTTGCCACTCCGTGGACCAGAAGAAGAAGGGGGCAAAAGCCTCGTGCCAAACCACTCAACTCTGATTGCCACGCCATGGACCAGGAGTGGGGGGAAACAGAAGCTAGACACACACTCCCTGTCACACCAGGAGGGTAAGGACGAGGGCAGGCACTCCGTCACCGCCAAAGCGAACCAGGAGGCACTCGGTCAGGGCTCAATTTCAAAGGCAAATGTAATAGGAATGCTCACTCCGTTGCCCGTGTTAAAACAGCGAACTGGGAGGAGGTGGCCAAGTCGTTTTTAAATCAGAGCAAGAGAATGCGAATGCCACACCAGCAGTCACACAAGTAGCACACACACCAAAACGAAATAAATAAATACAGTTGTGACCCCAGAAAAATGGTGGCAGCCGTTGAGGGAAAGAAAAAGAGCGCGCCAACAGAGGGCTGGCGCTCCTGAAGGCGGGAACGGCTGTTGGCACTGCGGCAAGGGCACCGGTTCTGGAGAATTCATCAATTTAAGTAAACAACTAAGGAATAAAAGAAGGGTGGCAAATAAGCAGAACGACCAAACGTAGAGAGCAAATGAAGGGGTTTGTTTGTTTGTGGGGGGAAACACAACGCGCAGACAAAGAACTGTAAAACTAAAACGGGAATAAGGGAAATCTAAAGGAAAAAAAGAGGGTTCAAAAACTAGTAAAAAACTTAGGTGAGTCAGGAGAGCTGGGAGGAATGGACTGTCTGCATCTAGATAGGAGGAAAAACTGAGGGTATAGCCTATTTCCCACAAGTCTTTGTTCCTGTCTAGTGTCTTGCGACATGGTGAACGCCCATTCCACTGGATACGATGCCCCACAAACTAAAACTAGTATATAACTCAACCTCTCCCTTGTTCTTCACCAGGTTTACACACACAACCCAATTCACTTCACGAAGGCAACAAGCTGGTGGTAAATTCTTCTGATACACTCAAACCTTTCTCTCTTCCTGGCACAACTTTCAGATATAAATATTTCTGATAAGGAGGAAGGATTTCATGAAAGGGGAGGACACAGCCTCTTCCATTTTGCAAATTAAGTCCAAAATGACACGTAGCGCCATCTTACACATGTTCAGGTTTACTCAGAGGATACTGAGTTTGTTGGGAACACTTCCAAGTGAGTGTGCTTTTAGGATTGCAGCTTCAGCATGTTGTTGATAACATAGGTGTTCCACGAATAATCATAGCACAGAAATCCACCCAAGAGTAGCCACATCTAGGTCTTCCTGGACTATGCTGGAAATCTTGGCCTGACAAGTACTTATTTAGAAAATAAATACATAATAATAATAATAATAATAATAATAATAATAATAATTTTTTATTTATACCCCACCCTCCCCAGCCAAGGCCGGGCTCAGAGCGGCTTACAAGCAATAATAAAAACAAGATGAATGATTACAACTTAAAAACAAAAATAAAATACAACATTAAAATAATGGAACATTAAAATATTAAAATGTAGCCTCATTGCAGGAGAAGGAAAAGAAAAAAGAAAAGGGGGGAGGGGTTACATGCCATATAACCCTAAAAGATAGAGCCTCCATTCAACCTGCTCTGGGCTCCTTCCTATGAGCAAATATACTGCGTTCTGATTTTGAAACTCATTTGCTCAACTTCAAAAAGGCAGTGTCAGAATCTGCCGATCGATCGATATGATAAATATGATGATGCCTACCTTTACTTAATAGCATTATTTCTCCTGCAACAAAGATACACTTCACTTGATAAAGCCCAGGTAATTAATTTTAATATAAATGTCAGAAAATTACTCAATATATTTCCCAACCTATCATATTGTACACACATCCCTCGCTATTTTAATATCTAATGTGCAAGTGAATGTTGGCTTGAAATCAATGTTAGATTCAAAAGATGGCATGTTTTCACCTGAACCTGCCTCTGCTCATTTCGATTTGCATGTGCGGTAAGTCCTGCTTTTTTATTATAGGCCAACCACCTATCTGGATATTAATTACACATCACAACATGACACAAGCACGAATCAATGAACACAAAATACAGAATGTGATACACGGCCCGAATATTCATTTCAATTTCGAAAGTAAGGAAAAATACAAGAGCGAGAGAGAGAAAGAGAAATAGAAATAGAGAAAGCAGATATTGTTAATAAGACGTGTGTTGCAAAAGATCTAGAGTTAGTTAGGAAAATGTATGGACAAGTGAAAATGATAATTAGAATTGTTGATACCTAATGGAATTCCTTTCGCCCCCTTAACCAGCCTTGTAGAAAAATTCACTAGACTGGAAAAAGAATGTTCCTACCATTTTTCTGTGCAGCCAGATGTGTCACTGGGCTGTTTGAAGTGGTAAGTTACACCTCTAAAAGGAATAAGAATAGCTATATCATTCTCTCTTCAGATGATGAATGTAACCTAAACCTTGTTTTTGTGTTTTATCCCAGACATGTTCATAATATTGCTGCTCAGTTCATAATCTCAACAATAGCTTGCTTTCTTCGTAAAAGATGTTCCTATACAGAAGAATGGAGATTTGCATAAAGAAATGTTGTTGCACAACCTAAACACTACAGTATTTTAAATAAAACCCATGTAAAAATTGAAGTGGCTTAGCTAAGTTTCTTTCCCATGTCCTTGTTTTGAAATTTATAGGAACTTGGCCTAGTGATCTACTTGACCTAGGTCCAGAAACAGTAATTTATTCTTGACCTATTTTGGAGCAGAAGCTTAAATTAATTTGAATTTGGGGACATTTCGCTGGCCTACATGCCAATATTCAGTCTAGTGCTTGAGGACAACCCTGTGGC